GCATTGATGATATAGTACACCATGCTGATTTGAAACCAGCATAGATTACATAATCTAAAGAAACAATCTAAATGAAGAAGAAGAAGATAGCCACGAAGAACAACAACAACACAATGAGGAAGGTGATTTTCTTTTTCCCTAATAAGGAGATCGATCAATTTACTTGTGTTTCATTGATTGATTTCCTTTTGGTTTGTTCCGTTTTTTTTTGTTTCATTCGACGTGGCCACATCGAGATTCTTGAAAAAAATTCCTAACTCTTACTTTTTTAATAAGAATTTTTCAATTGTTTTGAGTGTTGTTTCTTTTTTCTTCGTGTCTTTTTGTTTGTTTTTATGTTATTTCTTTGTTTTAGTCTTATGTTGTTTGTTTTGGTTTACACAGTTTATTTCAATGAAAAGAAGAATAAGATTCTATCATAAAAAATGGTATGGGGTTCTTTATGCTTTTCCTTTTGTTTCTTTTTTTAGTTTGTTAAATTCGAATTAGGATTAATCGAGTCTTTGTTCATAGGTACAAAATTTGCTTAATAGTCTTTTTGATGCAAGAGAAGAAATCATCGGAAAAATGTTACGATTTAGTTACTGGCTATTCTTTTGGGTTTTGTAGATTTTATTTGTTCAATTTGGAAATGAATTTAGCAAGACTCTTTTGTTTTAGACCCATTTTTCTTCTAAAAATCCCAACTTTGTTTTTTAAACAATGTAATATATAGATCAGTTTTGTATTAATTTTCCGATCAGTTAGTATGCATGATATATTGGATTCTCTTCATTGTCATATTTTATGTTACTTTAGTATGTTGTGTGCATGGTTTTTATAAACGTGGGATAGAATTTTGAACCTAATATTCTGATTTTGTATTTTTTTTAGGTTATAGAGATCAATGCAAAACCTTTAAAAAGAAAATCATGGACTGGAGGATACAACTTCTCCTCCTCAGGTTATTCCAACCAATCTATTCCGCTGAGCTTGCTGGTAAGTCTCTTTTTGCGAAATTTACTTTCTTAGCTTTGTTATGGTTACAGACTGGGTTAATATAACTCCTTGATTTCTTATCTTTTTTTCTTCTAAATAGTCGACCATGTGATGTTCATGTTTGTCATAGTCCCTAGAAAAAGATGACCGAGTCTCTATTTCCCTCAAGGACATCGAGCCGGTGAGATTTCATCTTTTTACCTTTTTGATAATTTTTTATTCCCGTTTATTTTTCTTTGAGTCATATTTCTGAGATATTTTTAAGAGAACATGTGCAACAGGGTTCTGCTGGAGTCACTCAGCAAAGATGAGAAACTGTGATCTCAACCATAAAGTCACTCAGCTAAAACATAAAGCTGGGAAGCATAAGTAAAAGTCAACATGGTGATGTGGCATAAGCTGGGAAGCAGAAGGAAGAGTCAACGTGGTGACGTAGCATCTCGAGCCAATCAAACAAACAAGTGGGTGTGAACAGCTGAAGCAGATAGTGGAGTCTACAGAATAAAGGTGTGAACAGTTGGAGCAGATGGAACAGTTTGCTGGATATCAAGTGGTGGCCGCTCAAGTCAACAAGGAGCAGATGGGAGAGTATGCTGGATATAAAATGGAGTCTACTCAAGCCTACAACAAGTAATGGGAAGTCTGCAYGGTAAAAGGTGGAAGCTACACAAGTCATCAWCAGAGGTATGGTAGGACTTGTCCRTTGGAGAAGGAGTGTCAGGCGCGTGACACTGTAYRTGTCGGRTCTACTGTAGCAATGTTGAAGAACCATAAAAGAGATGCAGGGAGCTTTCTTTTCTGGTCAGCCTTTCAGAAAATAAAAAGAGAGAAATGTTCATGTTGAACTCAGAGATTCGAGAAGGATCATAATCTGGTGAGTGAAAAAGAGATTAGCAGGTGCTGGTTGAGAGCTGGGTAGTTTAGGATATAGTTCAGGAGCAAATCAGTAGGGACTGAGTTTGCGTAACTCTGGGTAGAACTGACGATACTTGTTCTATTGGTATTCTAAACAGGAAACCTAGGTAGTGTAGAAAATATGGCCAGGGGCAAATCACTAGGTAGTGATGTTGTGTAACGCTGGATAGAAAAGATTGTAGGTACAATCAGTTTTCTATGTGTATTTCTGAATGAACAAAGATAATGTTATCTTTGATTGCTGTGTGTTTTACTGAAGTATCTCAAAGTCATCACTGTTAGAGGTCCGTGATTATTTCAATTTTATTTAAAATTTGTTGGTTTCTATTATTTTTAATGTTGTTGATGATTAGGTGGAGGCATTGATTTGTCTATGAGTCTTAAATTGTCTATTACTTTAGAGGCACATGCAGACGAAATTTATGCAAATGTTACTCTTCTTCGTTGGTGTGTTTAATTGTTAAGGTTTCGTTCTTTTAGCTTATTTGAATATGCAATATATTTGGGATCCTCTGTTTGTTAGTGGTTTGTTCTGTTTGATTTGACTGTTAGTTTACTATTTTTCTCCATTGTGTTTTTGTGAGCGTTTTATTGTTCTAATGTTTTGTCATGTTTGTTTTTAGGACGACTTGGCGAATAATAAAGGGCATACATGATTCTGTTGAGGTTGGTTGGGTTTATCCACTCTGTAATTTCGTGTTTTGAACCTTTACGTGTATTGTTCGTTATTAATTGTTGGTTGATTTCTCAAGGTACGGAGATATGTTACAGTTGTGACTTATGTTATTTACAAATTCTTTTGGGGCGAATGGTAAATGGAATTATACTTTGATTTTGTTGCATGAGAAAACTGACAATGATGGTCCATCATTGTATCGTTTTTTCTTTTTCCATGAGAATGTCTCTGATGTTGTTTCTCGGTTAGTTTGTGTTGCTTTTTGTCTCCGTTTTATATAATTTATACTTTGGTTGTGTAAATTTTATTTAAAACACTCTAAAAACATTATTAATTTCAGAGCATTTTTCTTATTGTTTTATTGTGTATAATTTTTCCAGCTACCTATTTGAATGTTTTTTATTCTTTTGAGAGATATTGACCATTTTTTTTTTGTTTAGATGGTCTTGCAAAGGAGCTTTGATAAGTTAGTTAGGATTTTTTTGAAATGGGTATTATTTCAGATTGTTGTGTCTGTATCGTTCGTGGCTTTTTAATATAAGCTTTTTCTTATGTCAAGATGTGTCGTTGTCTTTTTATGAGGATCATTTGGTTCTGCCTACCTTAGAAAATTTCATTAGGAAAGACCTGCTTTTCAGTTTGTTGTGACATCAAATACTTTAAAAAAACACTTAGGGTTCATTTTTGTTGCAAACGCTTTCCCAGGCAGTAGTTTTTTACCATGTGGTTAAATGTTGGTTTTTGATGAAAGTGAGAGTTTTGTGTGGCATATGAACGTGTGTAGATACATCGCCGTATGTAAAATACGGCTCGTGGCACTGTTGATCAGACATGTGGTGGTGGAGTTGATGTCGCCTTGCCGGAGAATTTTCCGGACACGTAATCGGTGAGAGGAAAGTGATTGGGGATGAAGATTTAGGATTTATAGATCATAAAATTAGATCTTGAGAAGTTATGTAGATTTTATTTTTGGTAAATTCTATATTTGTGTTTCTTTGTGGAAAAAACGTTTGCTAAACCCAAAGTCTCCTCTTACAAGGTCATTGTCTTCTATATTGAAGATCGGTCCTTCTTAAATTATTAAGTGTTATAGTTTTTGATCTGATGTTATGTAGGGACTGAATCAAGTTTCGAAATAGAAATTTTGTATCTTTGGAAAGACACACTAAATATTGACTCTATGTAACACTTATAAGTGACATCGAAGAAAGTGAGTTGAGCTTAAGAGAACAGTGCAAAAATATTCTATGGGATAGCCTCATGAATAACGTTATTCAAAAAGAAGAAAATGATGTGATTAGAGAAAAGATTCAAATTACTCCAAAGATACTGAAAAAAAATCACGACGTAATTTATTTACGACAATGAATGGTAACAATGGATTTAGCTAACACATAGACAATGAATGTGTTGGAGTGAATTATACCGCTGATTGGATGCGAGATTCTCAGCCTCATTCTACATGTTATAACACGAATCCGATCTCAAACAACACAAGACTTAAATGAGAGTAAATTAAAATCTTAAAGAGACTCACAAAAAAATGAGACTCACAAAAAAATTGGGTGAGTGGTAAATAATAAGGACCCACTTTTATGTGTTTGATGTAAATCTTCTTACATAAGCAAACATTTTTGTGAGATTTTTGTTGGTTATATTTTGATGTAGGGAAAACTCATACGTTTATTTAAAAACTTCAATTTTTTGTGTTTTTCTAGGATTATGAACTTTCGGATAGGAAGCAAAGACGGATACGTTAAAATTTAGTTACACGAAAAACACACTTTTATGCCCTCAAACCCTAGAGGCTATGGTGACAACATTCGGCTGAATAAAATCTTATGCTTTTCATCATATGTTTTCATGGAAATTTTGGTTTTGGTGAATCTAAATCTAGGGTAAATCGTTTGGTATATAATTAAATATATCTTTAATTTGTTTAGAATATTAAAAGTATGAGGATTTTTTTATGCTGGCCATTAATTGAGTTCTTTATTGTTCTTCGTTTTATTATAATAATTGGTTTCATAGTTTTTTCACGTGTTTAGATCGCATTTTTAGTAAATAATAAGTCGATTCATTCTAAATGAAATATAAATGAGAAAAGGATAAGAAATAAGAGGCTCAGACAAGGTTTATTCGACAGATTAAACCTAGCGCAGGACAAGGTTTATAAAAGGTTGAATAAATCATTGAAGATAAAAGAGAAGAAAATGTTATTCATTGTTGATTGATCACATAGAACAAAAGAATGTTGTGTTGGCCAAAGCACATATGGAGATTCAAGAAGAATATGAATGGTCAGGTGTTTTCTGAAAAAAAAAATAAACTTATAAGTAATTACTGAATCTTTTTGAAGAACAAAATCTGCATATGTGAAAAAAAAAGTAGATAGGGACAAAGAAACACTAAACTGTGATAGGAGGTATCATCTAAATTCCAAAAGAATCATCTAAATTTCAAACTCATTTCTAATAAAACGTGAAAGAGGCCGAAAATGATTATGAAATAAAAAATTATGCAAGTCTATTATGCAATTGACAACAAGAATTCGGACTTTGATCATCTTCGAAAGATATTGAAAGGTCGAAGCTAAATGATCCAATTAGTTTTTCTTTTATGTGATTCAAAATTTGTGTCTATGATGTGTTGTTCGATCTTTTTTAGTACTTTGAGTTTGTCTAAATGATCCAATTAGTTTTCGTTTTAGTTCAACCAAAAAGATGTAAAGAAGCCAAGAATCTTATAAGAAAATGAAAAGAAAAGTTTGTCACATAGTATATTTGATTTTTTTGTGTGATTTCTAATTGATTAGTTCTTTGGGATATTGAACAAGTATTAATTCCTTTTTTCATTACGTTATGGTGGCAGTATCAGTCAATAAAGAGAAATATGTGTTGTCCTAAATAAGTGATTAACTGAATATATTCGTGTAGTATGCAATTTTGGTGAGATCTATTACTCTGATAAATAAGTATTATATAGGATTTAGGAATTCAGTTGGCTTATGATGTATGTTTTTCATTTGAAATCAAATCAGTTTAAAAAACGATGGTAATGATATGATTTTTGTCTAAGGGATAATCTTTTGAAATATATATATAAAAGCTAATATTGTCATAACACAATTAACAAGGTATTTATCAAGGTAACCACTACATAAAATGGTTGGAATTGGAAAAACAAAACGGTGTGCCAAAAGATGCTAACGAGTTTGACCAAGCTGCATTACATAAAAACATTCGAAGAGAAAATCATATCTTCTCTAAATCATATCTTCTCTACTAGGAGATTCCAACACTTCAAATTCTGAGCGTAATAGAAAGTATAAATTTCAAATTTTGAGAGTAATAAAAAGTATAAACCTGGAGAAGTAAGTAAATGGTTGATGTAAGAAGAATACAAAGAACTGAAAAAATGGTATAAATGATATGCCTTCGGCCAAAAGAAATTCAAAGTTTTATCATATCTTTTAATGACATTACAGTTCCTAATGTTGTAGAGAATGTGATATAAATTTTTATCGCGCAATGGAGTAGGTGTGTTTACACCAAACTTTTTTTCGAAAGATACCTGTGAGTAATTAAGTGTTCCATCTCCTATAATTTCTTGGGATAAAGTGATATGGTTCTTAGAAGTTGTTCATCGGTTTTCGTTTTCTACTTACTTTGAAATTCTCAAAAGACTTATAACAATGGATATGCTAAGAAGATGTGGATTGAATGTGCCACCCGAATGTATTTTTTGTGCTTCCAGTGTGGATAGCCACGACCATCTTTTTTTTTTAGTGTGTATTCTTCGCAGGAATTTGTAGTTCTTTTCCTCAAAGATCTGGTCTAATCCTTCAATAGATTTACATGATGCAACTTCGTGGATCAATCATTTTAGTTTTCAAACACAAAGACATACTACTACTATTATCGTGCTCATTCTCCAAGCAAATGTTTACTCAATTTGGCGTGAAAGAAATGCTTGGATCTTCGTCGCAATCTCACTCCCTTAATCAATTATCATTGGACCGTCTACTATCGATTATGCCACGC